GGCAGAGAACCCTCTGCAAGTCACAAGTGCCTTCAAGGCACATGAACCCAGAGTCCAAGCAAAAACCTGGAAGGCAGTGGGGACAAGTGCCACCCCAGGAGGAGCAACGGGCAAGGAAGGACTGCTGGTCCCATGGGCTGGTTCTACGGTCACCTCGCCAAGACCACCGTGGGAGCTGGGGCCCTGGAGTGTGCCAGGCCTTCTCGGGGAACACAGGCCAGCACTAAGCCTTTCTTTTGAACAGGAAGTGCCTCTCTCCCAGTCTTCCAAAGTTCTTCAAATTCACTAAGGATAAAACCCATCCTGAGTTTCACCACTGACCTGTCCTTGGTGAAGCTGCGCTGCACAGGTGGGAATGGTGGCAGAGAGGAAGTTTCCTCCTGGACACAGGGAGGAGACTGAATGCACAGTGCCCCAGGCCTACGAAGTGGACAGACAACCCATCCGGCCCAACAGCCTCAGCTATGCCCCAAATTTACTTCCTGCCCTGAACATACCAATTCTTCTCAAACTCTCCTACCAAAGAACCCCGAAGAGCAGATGTGGAAACCCCACATCCAGAGGGCAACATGTCCTGTGCATGCCTGATCTTAAAATACACGCCCATTTCACCCTCATCCATGAATGATCTCAGGGTCCAATTTTTTATTCTTGTCTGATACTTCAATATGTGTATATGTGTGTGCACACACACGTAAACAGTTTCCACAAGTAAAATCCCCATTCCAGAAAAACACTGTTATCTTGTGGCTTTGCACATCCACAGGGATACACCTAGCCCAGCTGCAGAACCGAGAATAAATCAGTGACAGCTTGTACCGAGAGTTAAAACTGCCGTGGAAACGTAACATCTCCCTAAGATTTTTTTTAAGACATCAGGTTTTTAATATTGACTTAATTACCATGCAAAGACAAATACTCCACAGACTATGATCCAAGGAGGCCACTAAGGAGGCGATGGGTTCCACAAACACCCGACACTGAGGCGGCAGCACTGGGAGCAAGCTGGGCAGTGGCTCCGGGTCTGGATTTCTGATTTACTCTCCCCCCATTTCACACTTAACTGTAGGAGCGCTGACTGCTGTAAGCCAGCAGGAGATCTCAGGTAAGGCACAACCTGACTTGCCAAACTGTCAGTGAGGCACAAGAGAGGTGTCAGAAAGTGCAGTTCAGCAGCTCAGGGTTCCCCACTCACTTCATTCCCCACCCCACCCCCACCCCCACTCTTCCCAGGGACAGAATTTGGCAGAGATTTTAAGGAGTCCCAGCTCAGCACTTTCTCCTTCATCTCCTGCGGTCTTTCCCAGCAGTGACCAAGCTTCACTCTCATCCAGCCCCGCCGAGTGAGCCAGTGGCTCAGAGATCTCCTCTTCCAGGAAGTCTGCCCCACTGCCCCGTCAGAGCAGCATCCTCTCCGGGATTCATAACTGCCTAAGTTCAGCAACTTTGTAGATTCTTGATGATGGGCTAGAATTTAACGTGCTTCAAAACCTCCTTGAAAACTCTGAAACTACTGTATTTTCAAAAAGACGCAAGTTTTCCTATTCAAACATAACCGATATTTGAATATTATAGAGAATAGAGTTTAAATGTTTATGACCCAAAGAGTAATGCTTTCAGATTAACCAGGTACAGAGGCTCCTGGACCACAACAGGGTCATTCCCCATTGATCCTACCCTAAATTAAAAATATCAAAAGCTGAAAGTGCACCTTCTACACCTCGCCCCAGCGAGCAACACCGCCCACAGGGGAGCACCGGCTGTTTCCCCTGGTGACCCAACACTTCCACAGAATCAGACTGCCTATCACTGGCCTGAGGGAACATCCAGGCCCAAAGTTTGGTTTTATTGAATTTTCCTTTTCTTCTTTTGTTCTGAAAAGGAGTCTCACTAAGTTCTCCAGGCTGGCCTTAAACTCCTGGCCTCAAGTGATCCTCCTGCCTCAGCCTCACAAGTACCTACTGGGAGTACACGCCCACACACGCCACAGCCCTGGCACATCACTTTCACACCACTGTGAAGCTGAGAAATCCTGAGCTGAACCATGGTAAGTCTCAGAATGACTTAATTTGGCCAGCAAACAGCTCAGCTCCCACGTGCTCACCAGGGCAGCAGCAGCCAGCCCGCAGGCTGCCTGGGGCAAACTGAAACAGGGCGCCCTCTCTGGACAGAAACCGAAAAAGCAGGGCTCAGGGCTCCAAATGCCATCTCAGCAGGCACCCTGAGTCCAGAAAAGAGGAAGTCACTGCCAAAGTCATTTCAGTTTCCATGTGAGGAAGACAAACCAATACACATTGTTTTCAACATTTTCCATATGACTCTAAAATCAGGCTTTGAAATACCATACTCAATATTCTCCATCGAAGTCGCACCTCATTAAACACCGGTATAATTCTCAATTTGAACTTGGTTCTAGAACATTTTCAGGCAGAAAACAGACACTGTTCCCAGACTCAAGGAGGCCAATAAACTGACTACATTTCCAAACAATACCTCATGGTGACTCATTGACTTATTGCTCCAAGGAATATTTTCAATTAATTTATTTGATTTTTAAATTATTTCTTACCTTGCACATATGGCCTTCAAGAATGTTTCTGTCACATGCTACCTAACGACATTTCGGTCAACTAGAAAACACATTTTAGGACAAGGTACCATAAGAGGAAAATGGAGCTGAAAAGTCCCCATCACCTCGCAGTGTCACAGCACGAACCTCACTCGGGGTCTGTGACATTGGCATGAACCAGCCTACTGCCCGGCCGGCCGGCTGTGTAAGTTAGAGCACAACCACGTTCAGTGTGTGAGACTTAATGATAAACACCTGTTACTGGCTCGTGTATTGATTATCCTTTAACTCATTTATTTTAGAGTTTTTTTCTCTACATATTAAAAAAAAAAAAATTAACTGTGAAATAGTGTTGGGCAGGTCCTTCCAGAGGTTCCTCGAGGAAGCACCGTTACCACAGGAGGGGCCCACTCTTGCCCTGGCAGGCCGTCCACGGAGTGAATGAGAAAGGGGAAGACGGGAGGCCAGTGACTGTGGCCCTGTGCTGCCTAAGCTGCTGCATGTCTTTAGCTTCTAACAAAAAAAAAATTAAAGTAAAAAATTAATAATAGAAAAAGGCTTACATAATAAGAATATTAAGAAAAGTGTTATTCCAAGAGTCAAAATGTTAAAAACTTCTTAAAGACTTTGTAGAGTAAAAAAGAAACAGTAAGCTAGGTTTCCAGTAAGAGGAAGTCCCTCTCAAGTCATTTCAGACTCTAAGTGAGGAAGACAGGCAAATGCACATTCATTTTTCAACATTCTCTGCAGGACTCTAAAATTGGACTTGAAAATACATACTTAATATTCTCTATCTAAAGCCCCACTTCATTAAACACTGGTACTTGTAATTCTCATTTGAACTTGCTTCTAGAACTTTTTTAGGGAGGAAACAAATACTGTTCCTAGGCTCAAGAAAGCCAAGAAACTATGTTCCCAAATAAAACTCACAGTGAGGTATTATTGAATTAATATCTAAATAAAGATATTATTGAATAAAGAACTTTTGTGAATTTAGTGCAGCCTACCTACATGCCTGATGTGCATAAAGGCCACCGTGTCCTCCGGTCACATCCAGGCCTGCACATTCACTCTCCACTCACGGACTCCCCCCCCAGAGCAACTTCCAGCCCTGCACACTCCACTCCTGCGAAGTGTTCTAAGAAGGTGGACAACTTTTTACCTCTGACTATATTTTTATCCACCCTTTCTACCTTTAGATACACAAGTACTTACCATTGGGTTTCAATTGCCTACAGTATTCACAAAGTAACACACTACACATTTGTAGTCTTCTTCGAGCAACAGGCTATACCTTACAGCCTGGGCGCACAGTAGGCTAGACCATCTAACTTCAAGTAAGTACTCTCTCTGATATCTGCACAACAATGAAATCACCTAATGACATGTTTCTCAGAATGTAGCCCTATCAAGTGATAGATACATGACTATATTTCACTAGAAATTTTATTCTGTTTGAGATTATTTGCTTTAATAGTTCTTTGCTTTAGTAGATAAGTGCAATATTATCTGCTAATGTTAAATATAAAAGATAACAGCTATTTCTAGTTGATAAAACACATTGAAATACAAATTTTTTAAAATAATCAGATCAAAGATACATATTTTCCTACTAACGTATCTCTTTATATTTAAAACACTCATTTTTCTGTCTTTGTATGAAAGTTATTTATTTATTTATTTGGGGGGGGGGGGTCGTCTGGTATTGTGGACTCAGCCCAAGCCCTCAAAAGCAGGCTGAGCACAGGCTCTGCAATTGAGCTATACCCCAGCCCTATACACAGATTTTTTTTTTTTTTTTAAATTATGCTTCTTTTTTTTTTAATTTTTAATATTTATTTTTTAGTTTTCGGCGGACACAACATCTTTGTTTGTATGTGGTGCTGAGGATCGAACCCGGGCCGCACGCATGCCAGGCGAGCGCGCTACCACTTGAGCCACATCCCCAGCCCTATACACAGATTTTTGACTCAGTGCTTCCTTGTGGAAAATTAAGTCAATTTGTTTTGAGCTTCATGAATGATGGCCAGGGTAAATGTCAACTATAACTCTCTTCACTTCTTATCTGATTAACCTCACTTATAGAGCAGAACAGAAATAAATCCCTAAAGATTCATGGGGAAGGAATGAAAATAAAAACATAAAATTCATGGTGATCCAGCTGGCAAAGAGTATCAACCACTCACTTCCAGCTCCTCAATCCCAACATGAGTCCTCTTAAGAAACTCAGCCTTCAATCCCTGCAGATGGCTACAAACTGCAATTTCCTCAAATTATATTAATTCATTCAACAGATATTAAGTATCTCCTGAGGACAAAGGAACGCAGTAAACCAGGGTCAGTATTTAACAACCTGACATTCCCGGTTACCAAAGACATGCTCTTTCAAAGGCTTAGTATAAGTCTTTCTTCTACTAATGCAGAGTCTTACCTCTTAGATTTCTAGGATGAATCTGTTTCGTTCGAGGCATCTTTTTGGATTCAGGAGCTCCTTCTTCTTCTTAGAAACTGAAGGAAGAGCAGGTCACAAAAAGGTGGCTCCATAAACTCAATGTACATCAATTAATCCACGTGCTAAAAAAAGAAAAACAGACAAAACAAGCAGCAAATGTTATTACCTTCAAAGTAAAAGATAACTTAATAGTTCTGGCTTAGCACAGCATTAACCTAACTCCAGAAAAAGTAGCCAAGCCAGGCACCACTGCAAAACGTTACCCACTAACTTTTAATTAAGCCTAGGTCAGGTCATTCTGCCCATATCTGGGTCTTATTAACTATGAAGGGAAAAAAATAAGAGTGTAGGGAGAAAAAAAAATCTCTGTACCTTTATCAGATAAGAGTGAAGAAATTCACTTTGTGTTTTAAAGTAGCATCACCAGGTACAACTGGAGGATAGCATCAGGCTACGGAGGTTACGCTGTGTGCAGTCCACCTGCCCTATTGGACAGCAAGCACCACATCATGGCCATTCTGGTTTTGAGTTAATTGAGTGAGCCTAAGTTACTATTATGGCTATTCCCCAGTATCAGTCCCCCATTCTAGGATCATGAGAGGATGACACTTTCTGCCTCTCAGTGTTACTCTGGAACCTCTGACCAATCTAGCCAATGACCTCTTAAGTGGAAGAGAGATCTTTTTTACTTCCAGACTGAAGCCTTTAGTTACCAAAGCAAGATCTTCCACATCATTTAGCCCCTCTGAAAATGCACTGCTCCGGAAAATGAATCCAACAAAAGAGTTGAGGTCCCACTAACTCAAATGATCATAAAGCACAAACAAGAAAATCCCTTGTTATTGGAAGTCACTGAGGGGTTCTGGAGTTACTTGTTACTGCAGCATAACCTAGTCTGACCTGATTTATACATATTTAAAGAGTGATCTGCAATACAGAATGCCTAGATGGTAACTATCTAAAACCTAACCACCTATGTTCCTAAATCGGCCACCTCAGTCTCCTCCTCCACAAGACTCTTTCTCAAGGATCCAGCGCAAAAATTTTAGTTTTAACTTCCTGCAATAAAAATGATAAGCAAAACCTTTTATGTTGGCCCTAAACATGAAGCAATGTTTACTCACTAAGCGAACAGGCAAGAATGGAACAGGAATGCTTTGTTCAAAACTGAGGTCCCATCTGTTGCTGTATAGGAAGCAAACAAAACCTACGGAGTAGCTACCAATTGCTTATTTTCTACACATTACCTAATTTAATCCTAACAATAAGTGAAAAGGTAGCTATTATCATTTATCCATTTTATAGAGAAGAAAACTAAGTTTTGGAGAGGTTAAGTAACCTAAGATCAGCAACTAAGTAATGTGGCATCATATGACCCAGTTATTCTCAGTGCCTACTTCCTCAGTGGAGATTATAGGAAATAACAGCTACTGCCAGAGGTTGCCCACTCCCCTAAGAGGATGCATGGCACAGAAAGTCATGACTACATATTCTGATGTCAAACCAGCCTGTGTTCAAGGCCAGGCTTTACCCTTTTGTGTGCCCTTGTTCAAAGTACTTAACCTCTCAAAGATCAGACTTCTCACGGTAAAACTAAGAAAATATTATCTGCTTCTGAAGCCTGTTAGAAGTACTAGAGCTTTGCCTGTCACACAAAAATGCTGAAATAGTAATTCTCTTTAAGAAAGCCTGGATGGCAAAGAGTGTATCTAAGTATAAGGTTTTAGAATCTTATGGTTTCAACTATGAGATAGAATTAAAAATAGGGTATATATAATAAGATATATATTTTACTCCTGATACATCTATATGTTAGCGTAGTACAAAAATACTCGTAATTTTTAACTGCATGAGGAAAAATATGAAATATGATGGCCAATACTATGTATTTCACTTAGCACTGGGCTAAATGAGCTATAAAAATATGGTTTCTCAACTCTGTGTACTAAAGAAGCACCCACTCTCTGATTCAGGAAGGATCTGATTCAATAGAGAATTTAGATACATTAAAGCCTAATTAATTGTAGGAATGCTGAGCTCAGTTCCTTGTTAAAACTTAAAGCCTCTAAATGGTCACGATATTATGAAGTTTTTAAAGCGTGAACTCCGATGTAATCCAATCATGTGATCCCATAAATGTGAGACATGCAAATTCCCAATCTGTAAGGGCTTTCCGCTACCCTGTTCCCTGCCTACCCACTGTCCCTAGCTGTCCATCCCATGTTTAAATCCTTGTGTTAGGGGGAGTGGATATTTGCAAAGACAGCAGCAGTGTAGCGACTAGGAGAGGTGATAAACCGTTCCTTTACCAGGAGAAAATAAATACTACATGGAGCAAAAACAGGACACGATCAAAAAGCGTAAAGACAGTTGCAAGGAGAAAAAACATGAATGAATGCGGAGGGCGGAGCCTGGGAAAACCCCTCTGCAACGCTGCACTGAACAAAGCGCTTCGAATGCCAGGAGGAGGGGGGATGGAAGTGCCAGCCCAGGAAGGAACCCGGAGTGGATGCGGAGAGCAGGAGGAGGAGGACAAGAAGAGGCGAGCGCGGCAGCCCTGAGACTCCTCCTCGCCGCCAGCTCCGCCGCCGCCCCCTCCCATCTTCAGCCAGCAACTCCTTCCCGAGCCCGACCCCGAGGCGAGCTCGAGCCAACCTGCGCCCCGACCTGCAGCCCCCAGCCCAACAGCTGCAGGCGCGCACTTCCAACCCGGAAAGAAACTACCCAGGTGGCCAGGAGTAAACAGGCACTTGGAGCAAAGAACGAAAGGGAAAGAAAGCCACAAAGCCAGGAGGTTGGGAAGCCGAGGCCTGGTCTCCCTCACCCCGCACCCTCTTGCAAAATGCGTCTGCGGCTGAAAGGCAGGGTCCCTCCGTACCTGCTGGGATCGCAGGACCGCAGCTCCGGCTGCTCCCGCGCGGTGAGGGCGCCCAGAAGTGGCAAGTGGCTCCCGCACGCAGCCATCCCCTCTGCAAGGTCGGCGGTTGCACAAACGCGCGCACCCAACACACACATACACACACACTCACACTTACGCGCCCGCACACCCCCCGCCCGCCAGAGGGGGGGAAGTGGTCCTGCCCCCTCGCCGCCACCGCCCCCCAGCTGCAGCGCCCCAGCCGCGGAGCCCGCGCCGACCTGCAGCCAGGACGCCTGGCCGAGCCCCGGCCGCTGCAGCCGGCCCTGGCGCGGCGCTGCGCTGCTGATGGCGGCAGCCGCAGCTCGGAATCTCCGCGACCCCCGCGCGGCGGCGGCGGCGGCGCCTGGGATCCCTCCTTCACTTGACAACCCCAAACACAAACAGAACCTCCTCCAGCTGCGGCTGCTCTCCCAGTCCCCGGCTCCGTCCCCTTCCCCGCCGCCGCCGCCGCCGCCCGCTGCAGCCACAGTAAAGGCCGGCGACTGGCGCTCACACCACCCGGCGCTGAAATATTAAACAGGGGAGCGGGCCGGGGGACGGGGGGGAGCGCGGGGCGCGCGGCGGGGGCCGCAGGCGCCGGGCGGGGGAGGCGGCGGCGCTCGCCGGCGCCCCGAGCCGCGGCATGATCGCGGCGACTGGAGAGGGGGCTGCCGGGGACCCGGCGGCGGGGCCGGGGGCGCGCACCACGGCGGGGCGGGCAGGCGGACGGCCGGAGCCGGGGCGCGGTGGGCGGGCTCGGGCTTTACCTCTCCCCCGGGACAGAGTAGGGCACGTTTGGCGTCTTTGGGGACGGCGGGAGGAGCGCGGGCCGGGCGGCGCGGGGGAGGGAGGCGAAGGTCGAGGCTTTCCCGCGGGTGGGCGGGGCGGCAGGGGATCCCCGGGGGCGGAGGCGGGGAGGCCGCGGGTGGCGACGCGCGGGCGCAGGCGGGGGAGGGGGCGTCCCGAGGCGGGGGCTTCGCGGGGGGAGGGGCGGGGAACACCCGCCGGGCGGGCGCGGCCGCCTGCTCCGCCCGGGCCGGCGCTCGCTGGGAGCCCGTGCCCCGGGTCTCCCCGGTGGGGCGGACCCGGGGCCGCGCCAGCCTCGCCAGCCACCCGCGGATCGCCCCGCCCGGCCGCCGCAGGGACTGAGGGGGGGCGCGGAAGGCGCGGCTCGAGGGGGAGGGGCGGGGTTAGGGACGCGAGGGGCGGGAGCCCAGGGTCGCGCTTGCAAGGGGGACTCGCGCCGAGCGGGGGCGGAGGGGCGGGCCCAGCCGGTCACGCGGCCCGGGGAGGCCTGGCCGGGTCGCGCAGTTGGGGGCGGTTGGTCCGGGAAGAGGGGCGGGGACGGGCGGGGCAGTAGTTTCTCTTTACCGTCTCTTTACTTTCCAAAGCAGGATGTGGGCCGGCCCGGTGACGTCATGGGGTCTCCCAGCCCCGCCCCTCGCCCGGGCCGACTGGGGGAGGGGGAGGAACAAGGGAGGGGGGTACCCCAAGGGGGTTTCCTCAGCAACGCGTGGAGGGAAGGGGAAAATCATTGTGAAACTTGAAACTCATTAACTTTGAAAAACAACTTAAAAAAACCAAAGGGGGGCGGGGTGTTGGTTTGGAGGGTAGAAGGGGACATATTATTAACCCTGAACTGAAACCACTTTTTGGTGGCGGATGTTCTATTAAAAGAGCAAGGAAAGCCAAGGTTATTCCAGAGGCCGCCCCAAAGCCCGCTGGTGCTTCCCAAAGCCAAAGCTGCGAGCGCAATTAACCCCTACCTGCCCGCCTGACCGCTTGGTCCTAACAGGGGAGGGCACCTCAGGCGCAGAAGTGGGGTGCAGGGCTGGACAGCCCACCCAGCTCTTGGGTCGCCGCTGGGGAGCAGTGAAAGGGGAAGAGGGAGTAATTACTGTAAACCAGAGTTTGACCCCAGCTGCTAGAAAGCAGTAGAGGAAGCAAGAAGTGAAAATTATGGAAAAGAAATAAGAGGAGCAGGACCTGGGTAAGAAAAGTCGTTTTCGAGATTAGACCTAAAAACATTAGTAGTTTGGGGCTCACAAATTCCACATGTACCCCTTAAAAAGCAGGGGAAAGTGGTTTAACGGGCCACCTCGAACTGGGGAGAAAAAAAAAGATGCAAAAAAAAAAAAAAAAAAAAGAAGGTTCTTTTATAAAACCAAACTGTTTTCCCCTTTTAAGGGAAAAAAATGGCAAAGGATCATACACCCACAAAAAACAGCTGGCCAGCTGTGCAAACTTAATTTTTTTGTTGTTGTTCCCTTGGGCTTCCATAAAGATGTCTGGGTCTTTCCTGACCCATACCCCTAAAATTCCCCAGAGGAAATCCAACCTCTAGTTCATTTGAGCTAACTAAGAAAAGCTCAAAGCCCCAGAATGGGAATGATTAAAAATGGAATACTCAGTAATGGCGAGTTAAGAGCCAAAAATAATGTTAGGCAAAGGGGAAAATATGCCTACCAGAGAGAAAATTTGGCCGACTATAGGAGCAAAGATCATCCAAGTGAAAATTTAGAATGACAGCTAGCCTATACCAACCCTACAACTTTTAATTTTCAATGTTGATATAATCATCTCTTACGAAAGGAAATGCTTAGCCAATGGACTGCAGTCACAAGAAGTACATCATGTAACTCCCCAGCTGGGTTTTTGGAGTCAAAAAAATAAACGTGCAATTAAATGTGAAAGTATAGCTAATAATCTATAAGGATAAAAAAGGTCCCTTTATAATAAGTCGAGTTTGTGTCATTGGAGAAGTCAGAAATATTAACTGCATGAATAATTTACTCAATAGTTGTCGAACACAACAGAAAAAAAATACATTACAAACACAATGTCTATTTAGGATTTAGCGTTGCTAGGAACTTTCAAATAAAATATGCAGGCAATTTTGAATTACAATCGATTAATTTTGGCATTTCAATTTGTTTTCTCGAGCAGCAGACCAATATTCAACTTATTTTTGGAAATATATACAATACGGAACTCTCCCAGTTAAGTTTTCCAATTTTCGAACTGCAATTTCTTTGCCTACAATTCTGACTTCCTAGACACCAAAATGCAGGGAAATAAGCTAGGTTATACAGTAGCTTGCTTCGGCTTGTTTAGTGGCAAATTCAATATTTTGGTTCTCAAAATATATCAAATAAACTGGGAGGGGGGTGAGCCAGAAGATAAATATATATATGAGATAAATGTTGAAAATCCCCGGAACAATGGGGGAGTGGGTGACCATTATCTGCAAAAGTGGGGGAGGCAGGCTCTCGGGTGGGGGGGGGGCCCATTTCTCTGGGGTTCCATCCCAACTGGCGTGTGAACGCTTATGGGCTGTGGGCTTTGAGGGAGGGCAATGTCACTTCTACACGAATTTTTCTTGCTGAGTAGGTTGGGGAAAGCACAACTCCACCCCAGGGTCGCGGCCCGGGCCCCCGGTTCCCACGCGGCCGCCCAGCCCCGCCCGGCTCGGGCTCCCCCCTGGCGCGGCCCCGCGGCCCCGGCCCTCCGCCCTGCGCGCGACCAGGCAGCGCCACAGCCACCGCCACCGCCACGCGGAGATCCCGGAGGTTCCTCCCCGCCGGCCGCCGGGTCACGCTGCCCGTCCCTCCCCTCCGCCCTCCGCCCTCCGCGCGCGCTGGGCTTTCCCGTCCACCGGCCGAATCCCCTCCTCCTCTGGGCAACCCGGCGACAGAACCTTCCCTGCACGCTCTGCCAACTCTGTCCCACGCCCAGGCTCTTCCCAAGCCAGGCGCCAGACAAAAGAACCGAGAGGAAAACTTACCCGAACTGCAACGCAAAAAGTCTGATCCAAAGCTTCCTGGGTTTAACTTTTAATTTTTAAAACAACAAAAGCAGAAACCAAAAGCCTCCTAGGTTGGAAGTGGGCGTGAGAGGAAATGCTAGAGGGAGGCGCTTCGTCCTCTTGGCTGCTTTTGCCCCCCCCACACACACACACCTCCTTTCTGGTCCCTGCCTGGGGCTTTGATGTTATCTAGCGCACCGCCTACATGGGTTTATACCTTAGGCTTTGTGCAGAGAGCAATGTACAGATATTCAGCATTTTATATGCTAGTTGGGAGCGAGGGTAGCAGGTGGTCACGGTAAAGGATCCCCACTTCTAACCCCTGCAGTGAGAAGAGAACATTTGCAGAGGATTCCCTTTGTTACCTGGGCTGAAAGAACTATCCAGCTATCTTGGAGAGTTGGGTCTGTGGCCATTATTATTATTATTATTATTATTATTATTATTATTACTACTACTACTACTACTACAACACACATTAGAAGGCCTCCAAAATTGGATTGGTTTCCCTCCATAGTACAAACTTGCAATACAATGGTATTTGTTCAGTTTTCAGATCTCAGTTTTGAAAGTAAATCTTATTTGCTTCCTGAGATAGTCCTGCAGCCTGAAAGAGACAAAAGACATACCCCTGAAGAGTATAAACTATAATAACAAGGCTTACATGCATCATAGATTCCCTTATGGGCCAAAATATCCACACACCTTCCCACTCACATTATGGAGAGCTTGTAACTGTGGATTTTACATTGCTTATCTGGTCAATAGCAAAAGCTGGATATATTTTTACATTAGGTTAGCAGGCTCCAGATCATCACTAACAAAGTACTAACCAAAGATGCTTTTCTCTCTCTTTCTCTAAACAGATTAATAATGAAGAAGTCAGGCACCTACCCCCATTCATCCTTACCTGCACATCCCCTTTATGGCAACACCAGCCTTGCCCTCTGGGAGTTTACAAATTAATGGAGACTGGATAAACACCCAGAAAAATACCTGGAGGGAAAAAAAAGATACAAGAAGAAGCTTATAAACAGAGCCAATTAAAGTTATACAGAGTTATTTACACGATTGCTGAGAGGTTTCTGGTTGTGTGGAGGGCAGGAATAGCAGAGAAAGTTTCATCCTGAGGGTGAGTTCTCGGTGGGACTTT